GCAGTCGTCCAACCCAGGGAAACCAACCCACCGAGCAAACCAGAGCCGAAGTGAGATACGGATTTGAGACGTAATTTATGCACGCACATCAATTCAAATGCATCTAATTTGGTAAACAGACCGAGGAGATGAAGGAGCAGATTCGAAGGAGACGGATTTGCATAGAGAAAAATACTTTTTAGCTGCGCCTTCACAAGAAAACTTAAAAATACTTATCTTGCATATTGCACTAATTGTTATAAAAGAAATATCTGATAAAAGTAGCTCATTAATTAAATTTATTGCATATATTTTAACAAAATAGTAATCAAATAAAGAAACTATGCAGCAATAAATTATACTTTTCTCTTGATCTTGTTATAAGATCAACGAATGCTATCCACCATTTCATAAACCAGTTCTCTTTAATAAAATTGAACAATTCCTAATAAGTGTGTAATTGCTGTCAAATTTTTCGCAGTGTGAAGACAAAGTTTCAGTCACACCTGCCTGCCACTCGACAGACAATCGGCTTAAAATAGTTTTCATTTGCTTTCGGCGGCGAGTGCAACATGTGGCATTGGCACCGCCACTAAGTAGCCCCAGTCTGCATGATCAGCATCTGTTTAGGGACTTGCCCCCTCCAGAGTCCCTTTGCCCAGGGACCACATCCATTTCGGCAGTTTCAGTAGTTCGTCTCGCCTCGCTGGCATTCTGTACATGCAGCTCATTTAGTTGACATTTATTAACGTCACATAGCGCGCAATGTTTGACAATTAATTAGGCACTCTCAGATGCAGAAAGACGGGTCCTAAGCTGCAGCCTCAGATGCATTCACAAATATGCAGATACGGATACGCCTAAGCAGATACGGATACAAATGCCGGGAGCAGATACACAACTTGAACTTGAATTTCAATTTATTTCTAGGTCTATTTGGATCCAAAATTAGATCTGATTTAATTTATAAGTGTTATTTTTTCACTTCAGATGTGGTTGTTTTTTTCTCCCAATCATTGTTTTTAAATGTTTTGAATGTTTTTAAAAATAGCTCGTAGTGTTTGTGAACTTGAACTTAAATAAGTATGAATATATTAAAATAGGTGTCATTAAAATTATTGGATTGAGACTCTTTTAAGTTAATTGTGTGATTATTATGCTTAATACTCTTATATCTTATTTCTTAATTTCCCCTTAATTCCAACCGCAAGCAGCATGAAGTTCTCGTTATTGCAATAAGCCTTAGGGCGAATAATTTTAATCTGCTAATTCAACAATCATTCAATTTTAAACCCCCTTAAGATACGGCTCTTGAGTTCCTCCCTTTTTGGTTCTGCTCGCAAGGAATGCAAACGAACTGCCCGAATCACAGAAATTTTCAAAGTAAACACACAGAAATTTTTTCCTCAGAGCAACTGAAGCGGAGTGAGAAAAAGCGAACTTTTATTTATAAAACACTCGAAACGAGAAAAAATGTCCAAACTGTTTTTCGGGTATATTGACGCAAGGATTTCCCAGGCCGTCAAAGATGGGGGATTGGGGCCAACAAAAAACTCTGAAAAGCAATGCAATGTGAAGAGATCAAACAGTCGGCTGAAAGTCCTACGCTTGGGCGAAAGTTTGTTTTGCTTTTTTTTTATTTTTTCCTTTTTGGCAAATGTCACATGAAAAATGCGTTTGCTGTTTGCCAAAAATGCCAGCACTTTGCATGGCTCACCCTCGGTCTCGGAAAATCAGTTGGAAAAGCTCTACCCCCAGGACATCCTATTCTTCAGTTGAGCCAAAGGACGGTGGTGTTGGTCGTCTTGCACGAAATTTCCATTTAATGTGTTTGCCCAAAGTATTAAAAGGCAAACGACGATTGAGTATCGGAAAGTAGTAAAGCAAAGTTGCGAGCGAAACTCTGGGGTGTCCATGAACATAACGCTGGAGTTGCACTCTTCACTTAGGCAGAGAAAAAAATATATTTAATAATATTTTGATATAAAGATTTTTAATGGTTATCTTAAATTTAATTGTATAAAATCTAACACATCAAATATTTGTAGTAAGATATTATTTACTTTTTTAATTTTGAAAAGAATAGCTTAAAAAAGTCATATCTTGGAGGTAAAATATTTCAAGTAAAGGGACTCAATCCGCCGTGAAAATCCACCCAATAGTTGGAGAACTTATGTTGTATTTTTCTCTCTGCACAGGCAAACTCCCCGACTGACTGCTGAGTGATTGCCATGATAAGTGGCCCATTATGATGCCAGTTTGCACAGCGAGATTGCTCTGCGCTCCATTGGAGTTCTCCATAGCCCTGGCATCGACCATCGGACCATCGACCATCGAGCATCGCCATTGCTATCGCCCTCCTCCGATTTGGTTTTAATGCATATCAGAGTGGGCAAACTTCTGGCCGAAAAGTGCGTCATTGTCCGTTCGCTTTTTCGTTGTCTTCACCAAAGTCCCGCTCCTTCATCCTGCGACTCCTGCCGCCGTTCCTCCTGCAACGTCTGTTGACAAAAGACATTTAATTTTCCCGCAGCCTTGCGTCGCCTGTCGCCTTTTGGCTCCTTCTCCTCCTGGAGGACGAGTGCGTCGAGGACGAGTATCTGTATCTGGAGCTGTGCAATAAAGTTAGCCGTCGTCGTGGTTTCTTTTCAGCCGTTTTTCGAATGGCCCTCGTCGCGTCTCTCCTTTGCTCTATTTTTGGTCTCCGCCGGCTAGCGAAAACTTTGATAAGTGAAATTTATTGTGGGTGCTTTGTGTGTCCACTATGATGGCTACACAGGCAGAAAAGGGTGTGGCTTATGGAAAAGTTTTAATGAGCTTTGTTGCAGGGGCCCCTTATCTTTTATGGTTTGCAAATTTTATACCATTTCTTTCGATAGTCTAAAGTTTTTTCATCATAACTGAAATATTCGCAATAACCAGCTTTTCCGCATGACACCTTTGAATGAATGTTACACAATGAAACTAAGAATAGCATAGGGTCCTTTCCAACTAACAAATATTAAATACAATGTATTTATACTTATACTATTGAAGCAAAAATATAGTTCTGATTTTTGTCTGTGTAAAACCTCTGGAGACAGAAGAATGTCCAACTGATGGCGCTCTTAATGTTTTACGGCATTCAGTTGATGTTTATTATTTGGCGCATAAATCAGCAGAGCCATAACTACAATGGGATCCTCGGACGATCCGTTTGGCGATCCTATGCAATCATTGCCACTACCAGCATTCCTCAACCCATGAAACCAACCTTCTGTATAGTAATTTAAATAGCCTCGGGCTGTCGGCATCAACCCCCATTGCAAACTCATTAATTTACGTAAAATCCACTTAACTTCTTTCCCGTACGCAATAAATTCCACAACTTTGCGCCTCATCAAACGAAATGAATGCTGAAATTTACCACGCGACAAAGTCAGACAATAGAATAGATAGAAATCTACATGGAGTAGACGCCACGTCGCCGTTAAATTTCGGAACATGTGGTGTTATGATGAGGATTGGGACCTTCGAGCCACCGAAATCACCACCCAACCGGCAGCCACCCACCCTGAAAAAGCCACCCCAAATCCTCGGACCTTCGCAGTTTTGAAAACCGAAAAAGGGTGCATTGATATGCGTAAGCGAAGCGATTTCTCCAGCCTCTTCTCTTTGTGGGGGAATTCCCCCGGAAGAAGAATTACGTGCCGGCAGACCAGAAACTCATGCCAATGCATTGCCATCATTTCAGGCAATTGTCAAACAAAACGCTGGTGGGTGGTGGTGGGTGGATAAATTAGATTTTACTTGCGCACAATTGCATAAAGCCCCAGACCCAAAAAAAGCCCGACAATGTAATCCTCCGAGGACTCGTCGTAAATATTCATTGCATACGGCCGGGCGTTTGAGCTTAAAGTTCTATCACTCACCTCCGGCCCCCCAAAAGTAACTGCCTTTTTTTTCAAGGTCTTTGCCAAATTTTGGGGCGGCAGAAAATTCATTTACACCACCCACCCAATGTCCTTGGCGTGCGCTCCCCCTGGAGTCCTGGTATTCTGGAGTCCTGGGATTCTTGGATCCTGGGGGTTGGCCTCATCCGGCAAGGGTGTCGAACTATAAATTGTACCTTTTGTTGCAGTTTTTGCTTGAATATCTTCAAGAATTGCGAGAAGGGCGATCCCAAGGCAGGCAACCCTCGGTGTTGGGTGTCTTTAATAAATGTTTGGATGTTTCGTTGCGAGATTAAGTGGATTCCGTTTATGGCATGAGTAATGATGGATGCATAATGCGCACGTATGTGGCAGGTGTGGTGGAGTGGGAAGTCTCTAGTGGCTGCGGTTCAGTTGAATCAATGGGGGAGAGCCATTCAATTCTAGCATGGAAATATTTTATGTTATGTTTGCAACAAGACATATTATTTTATTAAAGATTACTCACATCTAGTTTCCCTTATTAAAAATATATGCTGCTATTTTTATTGCCTTACAATCACAAATACAAGAAAAAAGATTACAAAACTATAAAAGTAAAAAGTCTACTAATTATTCTAAGAGGCCTAAAAATGGTCGGGAATCTTCCTGACTCTCTTCTTTATATTCAATTAACGGGAGTTTTTTTTCAGATAATATGAGTGAAAGAGGTTTTCTATAAAACCACTGATGATTTTGAGTGAGTTATTTTTTATATCCTTTTTTTTATTGAATTTTTTGTTAATTAAAAATTGGTTTCAGATTCATGAGACGTGGTGTTATTGAATCCTACAAAGAAAGACTAAGTTCTGAGCACATCGAAAAAATTGACAAATGGACAAAGAATTTTTTGGATGACTACGGAGTTACGGAATCTGATATTTTTGGTTATCTCTAATTTAATAGATTAGGTTATAATTTAAATACATGTTTTCTTTTCTAAAAACTATTTTTTAAGTGATCTTTTTGTATCAGAGAGTTACTTTACTTGTATTGCACATTTTACGCTTTAACAACACCGTGAAATGCTTTACAAGTATTTTAAACCTAGCAATCAGTTGCTTCGCGGATATGAACGTTCCAGCGTCTTTAAAAAACTACTGCTGGTTCAATTATGGGGTTTTACCCCTGTGGATTTTGGTGACAATGATATTTCTGCACAGGGAACTGCGGCATTTTGACGGCCTCTTCGGAGCTCTAACTTATCCCGGAATTGGTGAAAACGGATCTGGCTCCTATTTAGATGCACCCTATTTAGATATCGATGAGTATGAGGAAGGTTGGATTCGGTATTCATACAACTCTTGGCTGGCGGCAAGAATTCCAGTGCGGCGTTCATTGCCAGACTATCGGGATCCCCTCTGCCTGAATATCACCTACGATGAGGACTTTATCAATATGAATCCAGCCAGCATTATTTTGATCTTTCGAAACGAGCAACTTGTAGTCCTGCTGAGAACTTTGCACAGCTTGGTGAGCAGGACTCCAAAACATCTCATTTCTGAGCTCATTCTAGTGGACGATCATAGTGATGCTGGCTTTTGGAAAGAAAAAATTTCGGTTTTACTTTTTGACACCTACGTGCGCAAGTATATTTACCCAAAGGCGCGGATATACCACTTTGAGAATCATATGGGGCTAATCAGAGCTCGGGCTTGGGCCGCCAGTCAAACCATGCCGGTTAATCTAGTATTTGTGGACGCGCAAGTTGAGTTTACCGAAGGCTGGTTGCCACCATTACTGAATACTATTTCGGAAGAAATACAGACCCTGGCCACTCCCATTTTGGACGAGATCAATGAGGATAACTTTGGTTATCTTCGGTCGAATGAAACTCGTGGGATCTACGACTGGAGCTTGAGACGCCTGGAAGTTCCCCTCTCAGAGGAAAAAAGATTAATGCTTCCCAAACCTTATGAAGTGGCTGCCGTAAGGACTTCCGTGTTTGCTATTCCATCTGTGTATTTCCAAGAACTCTCGTATTTCGACGAAGAGCTCAGTGGTTTTGGCGGTGCTGAGCTCGAACTTAGTTTCAAAGTCTGGCGAAATGCTGGTCGCATAGTTCAAGTTCCTTGCTCCAGAGTTGGCCACTTGCAGCCCAAAAATCATCATTATCTTACGCGATTTGGTGATCCACACGAAATGGGGAAAGAAGTTTCCAAAGTGAGTAAAAAAATAAATAAAAATAATATAATGCCCTTTAAAATAATCATTGCAGAACCTCAAACGAATTGTGGAAGTCTGGATAGATGATCCTGTTCTGAAATCAACAATATATCGATACCTACCACTTCTCAAAAACGTTTATGAGGGTGATCTCAGTGTACCGCGGTCAAAATACGACAAATACGACTCTGAATCTTTTCAGTGGTTTATAACCGAAGTCATGCCAGAACTAAGACAAATTACACCCAGAAATCGCCTTGATTTTGCTTTTGGTCATATAAAACTCGAAGGTTATCCAGATAGCTGTCTGACAGTCAATGCAGAAAGGAAGCATCTAACTCTCGAGCCATGCATCGCCAACAATACTCATCAAAACTGGACATTGACCCATCTTAACGATCTCCGAACGGCCGATAATTTTTGCCTAGAAGTGCATTCCCATGTGGCCGTGAGATATAACTATTGCCACAATCTTGGAGGACGGCAGAGTTGGAACTATAATTCGTATACCAAACAACTGGTCAGCAATTCCTTGTGTCTCGAATCAGGTGGTCGACTTTATTTTTATGTGGGAATTTGCAACACATCACAGAGAAGACAGAGATGGTTTTTTGACAACCTCAATTTAGATCTCTTGGCATCAGTGAAAACAAATTAGCGTAGATTTTTATTAACGTCATTTTAATTATTTGGCGTAGATCATTACTAAATTCATTTTAGTTATTAAGTGTAAAAAGCTAGCAATGCTGGGTGAAACTATACAAACGCTACCTCATGATACCTGAACACTTCCATAAGTTCTTTTTCTTATATCTGGGAAATCAGGACCTTAAAATATTGATTTATTCATTTTACTTAGTTTTAGTGAATACATTTTTATTTCTTATTTACAGTTACGCTTTCTTTGTAACCCTAATTACAATCCAATAATTACAAAAATAAAATTTAATGCTGCTTGCCAAAAAGTATTAAAACGAAATATTTTGAAGTGTGGTAAAGCTTTGTCAGAAAGGATTGAAATAAGATGGCTTGTACCATTACTTTTTTATATTTAAACATATATTCAAAGCCTGATCTAACTTAAAGTCTTTAATTCCCGTATACATCCAACGTTGTTCTACCTTATCGGAGTCACAAGGTCTTAAAATTAGGCCTGTACTCATATTAATTTGCAGACATTTGTTTCCCTGAGTGACAAATGACCTTTGCTGGTAATTATAATGCCAGGGAATATCGGGAATTTTCTTTGTGCATTTCGAAACAATGATATTATTTTTAGGGTCCACACCCAGACACATTGGACCAAGTTTCAGTTGGCAGCGCGACGTCCATGTCCAGTCTTCAAACTTGGAAGAATTGCATCTCCTCATGTTTGGGAATCCTGCTTTGATAGTTAGGCAATAGTCTGGCGCCTGAAAGGATGTTATCTTGCCAACTGCATAGTTAATAGTTTCGGCATTGAGATAATGGTTCCTGTAATGCGGCGCCACTTGACTGCGGTACCAACCGAAGGATTTGCATTTTAGTTTATATCTCCGTTCTCGCTGCTCCTTCAGCGATTCGGTGGAGAGGTTACTCAGCCTTGGGTTATTCAGGTAAAAATTGATTTTGAACTCATCGAACCAGACATCAACAACACGCTTGAAGTTCTGTAATGCAAAATAAATGGAAAAGAAAATTTTAAAATAAAATGTATCGATTTGAATGGGTTATAAATTTCTAAAAATTTGTTTACAGTTTTTTTTCGAAAAAGATTTAACAATTGCATTCTACAGTTTTTATCTGAATCTAAAAAATAAATTAGGTTTGATTTTAAAACCTTGTGTATGGAATTCCTTTTATAAACTTATTTTTCGGTTGAATATTATTACTATAAATATTATTTACTCACCTTTTTAACTTGCAGCTTAAGATTCTTGTTCGGAGCCATTTGAGCCTCAATCTCATCCCGATTGTAGATGATTCCCACTCGAGAACAGGGAACTGTGAGGATGTGACCACCACACTGCCATGTCTTTAAACTTAGTTCCAGAGCATCACCACCATAATCCTTGAGGCCCTCATCCCAACCGCCAAGACGCCAAAACCATTTGCGATGTATTGCGAATACACGTCCATCAAGTTGCGAGGAAGGGAATGGTTTTGGCAGAGTATGTCTGGTAATCTTATCCAAGGGGATCCAAATGCGCTCCAACTGCCAATCAAAGGCCATTTGCTCGGGCTCCTCTAATTTGTGGTAGGCAAAGGAGTCCCCGGATATGGTATCCATTATGGGCTGGGTGACTCTTTTTTTGTCCCACAGAATGGGTTCCAGCAGAGGAGGCAACCAGCCCTTTGTGACCTCCATATGGGAATTGAGAAACACAAGGACATCACCAGTTGCAATTTTTGCTCCCCTCAAACGGGCATGAATGATTCCAATTGGTGACTCAATTTCCAGCTGAGTTACCATTGAAAGCTTTTGCGATATATACCAACTTAAATCCCAATCGGCAACTCCATCATGAACCAGTATTATTTCATTGAGGAGATCAGAAGATGTTTGTGCAATTATACTGTAGATGGTTCTTAGTAGAGTGTGTGGATGCTCCATTTGATGGGCAATAATAATACTAACAGTAATGTTTCCCTCGGAAGTATAGATAATGTTCCGACATCTAAGAAATAAGTGGTATCCATCATTGGGTAATGTTACTTTCAATATTTGAAGCCTACTTACTCTGGAGCCCTATAATCTTTTAGAGTTCGCTGTAGTGGAATTCTTTCAGAGATCCAAGCATTATAGTGATAGATCGAGTACTTTGACTCAATATCTACAATGTCGTTCCTTGTTATTTGCAAGTAGGCTTCTTTTCCATATTGTCCCAGATTATCAATTGCAAAGTATTCAAAATCAACAGTTGCACCAGATAAATTTTCCGTATACAAGAACCATATACAAAGGGAAATTGTACAATGTATTAAAAGGAATATCGTACAGGGGCACGGTGAACCCAAAATTAATCTTTTCATTCTTATCAACATGACGACTGAAACTATAATTCCTAAAAATGCCTCAACTCTTTGTTAATGTGGTTAGGTGAAACAAATCGATTTAATAGGGCGTCTAGGGAAAAATGTACCAGAGTTGAGTTTATTTTTATATTTTGTTTTTGTATAATTAAGTTTTTATAAGACACATCCATAATTTTTTAAAATAATATTTTATAATTTTGAATAGCTTGTTAACCGTAATTTATTTTTATTTTATTTTAATTCTAATTTTTTTTTGCTTCTTTGGCTTATTATTTTTGATTGTACTTAAACCACTAATTCATTTACCACTTGCCCTCACAATTTAAATAAGCCGCCCATGATCGGTTCATTGAGCCACCGAATCGAAAACTTTCTCAGCGTATAAGATGGGATTAGTGCCGTAGAAGACCGCTCTTGCCAAGCTCTCAGCTGACCAGCTTCAGTCTTGGCCAAAACGCTGCGCGGTTTAAGCCGAATCTTATTTTTTTCCGTTCCGGACGGCTGTGTTTGTTTCTGTGATACAATGTGCCTGGAAATTTGGCGGCACAAGAAGAGGGTGTTGCTGCTGCTACTGCTGATGGCCACCGGCAGTATCTTTTACTATCTGTACACCCTGAAATTGGAACGGGAGCGAGATGCAAATGTATCTTCGACGACGTCGCGTTTGGAGCGTGAAGTAAGCGAGTTGCAGGCGGTCTTCGAGTCGAAGGTTATTCCGAATCTGGGGGCCTTGGGTCGCCCGGCGAGGGGAAATTGGACCTCCGAGGAGATGGAGGCCATGGAGAAAAGCCAGCTGGAAACGGGTTACAACGCTTGGCTCTCCAAGCGCATCTCACCTGAGCGCACTCTTTACGACATGCGGCATCGCAGGTGAGTGGATAGAGCGCGAGATTCGGGAGCTTTAAGAGCGAGGTGATCTATAGGAGTATAAGAGTGTAACACAATGATGCCGGGGCTTCAAAGATTATAATAAAACCAATATCAAACAGATATAATTTTATAGAAATATTTTGAATTTATTAAGAACTCTGAAATACTCTTAAATTTAAGAAAAAATACATGTTAATTAAAATGATTAAAATTAAATAAATATTTACAATTTTAAAACAGTTTCCTTTGAAAAATAATTCTTAGAGTAAACTCAACGGTTTTTTTTTTTTAATTTCGTGCTTTAAAAGTTCCCAAAAATAAATATGCTAGAAATAATCTCCTGTCAAATTAGTCAGGTTTTAACAAATATGTGAGCTTAGATTACTATAGTAATTCTATAGTAATTCAATATTCATTCATTTTATAAATAAAAAAAACATAATAGTATTTAAATAATCTTAATTAGCATCTCTGAGTAGATTATAAGACTCTCTGACTTGTGTTATCTTCCGACAGCTGCAAAAAGCTCGAGTACCCGCTGGAAAAGCTTCCGTCGGTGAGCGTGGTGATAACATATCACAATGAGGAACCGAGCGTGCTGCTCCGAACGCTGAGCAGTTTGAGGAGCCGGACTCCGTTCCTGCTGCTCCGGGAGATTATCCTGATGGACGATGGCAGCAGCTCGGTGGACGAGAAGTTCAACAATTTCCTGCAGATCAAGTTCCTCAATATGGTGAAGCACCGCAGGATCACCACCCAAGTGGGTTTGATGCAGGCTCGAGTGGCGGGAGCTCAACTGGCACTGGCCGATGTCCTGGTCTTCCTGGACTCGCACGTGGAGGTCACCCACGGCTGGCTGGAACCACTCATTGCTCCAATTTTGAAGAACAATAGGACCTGCACCACCCCAATTATAGACACCATTGATTACGAGAACTTTGCCTACAGAAGGGGAAAGCCATCGAGGGGATTCTTCAACTGGGAAATGAACTATATACAGTTGCCACTCCTTAAAAAGGAGGCGGTGGCCATGCCGGCTCCCCATCAGAATCCCATCATGAACGGAGGACTCTTCGCCATCGGACGTCAGTGGTTCGCCAAACTTGGTGGCTACGACAAGGGATTGAAGCTCTGGGGAGCCGAGCAGATCGAACTGAGTCTCAAACTTTGGCTGTGCGGAGGAGAGATTCTGGAGGTGCCCTGCTCCAGGGTTGGTCATTTATACAGGGATGGTAATTTTAAAATTCGCTACACCGATAAGGATAAGAATGCTGAAAAGAAACTTATCTCAAGGGTAAGCATTAAATCTTTGTTAATCCAGGAAATATAATAGTAAATACTTCATTTATTTTAACTGTGCTTACAATAATTGTATTTGTTTTTATAGTACCACAGAAGCTGAAATTGCTTTAAAATATCCCTTTCAAAACTAATATTATATTTAACTAAAATAATATATTTTTTTTCAGAACTATCGTCGTGTGGCTGAGGTTTGGTTGGATGAATTTAAGGACAAGGTCTTTGCCAATGCACCACATTTAACAGTGATTCCGGTTGGCAATCTTGCCGAGCAGCGTGAACTCAAGAAACGCCTTCACTGCAAGCCATTCAAGTGGTTCTTGAATAATCTGGCATGGGACTTTCTGAATCTATATCCTGTATTGGACCCGGAAGACTATGCCTCTGGGGTTATTCAAAGCACATCCTCTCCGAAACTCTGCTTGGATCGCTCAGAAAGTCCAAATGGCCGTCCCAAGTTGGCTAATTGTAGCTCAGATCGGGTGTTCCCAAAACCAGAACAGCATTGGATTCTGACCAATCGACGGGAGCTGCGATCCGGATTCATGTGCTTGGAGGTGCGCAACAGTGGTCAGGATGTTTATTTCTATCAGTGTCACGGGCAGAGGGGAAACCAGTACTGGTCCTTTGACTCCAAGTTGCATCTGATTATCTCTGGCCAGGATAAAGGAGCCAGACGCTGTTTGGAGGCACAGGCGGAAACAAATGGATTGACCACCGGAGACTGCGATCCGCAAAAACCAAAGCAACATTGGAAATTCGGGCACCAAAACAACCAAAGATTGCAGCAAATTTGGGACAGGGATTAGCTTGACTGTAAAGTAATCTCAATGAAAATACGAAAATGTTTTCACAAGCCCTCTTGCCATGATATAGAATTTAGTTAAAGTTTTAAGACATGCTTAAATATATTTTAAAGTTAATGTTTCATAAAGTTTCAACATGGTTGTTTCCAGAAGCTACATCACCCACTAAAAATTATGTTATCATTCCTTGAGTTATTTAATAAGCCAAAATCATACCTAATGTTGTCTTTTCCATATATTTAGGTGCTCCAAGTTTTTATCCCATTATCTCATTTCCAGTGTTTAAATGAGATGAAAGTCCAAACATACGAACTTTATATGTAAAGTAGTACAGGTCATAACAGTCTCCATAGGAATGAAGCTTAAAACAAATTGAACTCAATGAAACGGGCACGTTCATCTGCAAAATAATACCAAATGAAATCGGTTCTATAGTTAAATCTCCTTATGAAGAACTCACATCGATCACTGGGTAGTATGAATAGTCCAGGAAATACTTGTGCATATCCAGGGATCTATTTAATACTCCTCCCAAATGGACATCACTTTCGAAGGGCAGGAATCGATGTCCTAGCAACTCATCCCGACTATTGCCAGGAATTACATTCACATTGGTGAGGCATCTGCCCAGTTCCTCGGTGGCCTCATTTCCCCTTTTCTCTGAGCTGCAGATACTTTCGTTGGTCAGGGCTGCTAATGAAAATCTTTTTAGGGCAGCTCGACTGAAGACAATTCCAGAAGCATCGTGCATAAAGATCTATAAATTCAAAATAAATAAATAAAAAAATATATTACATATATATATTATAATTACAGTTGTATTTGTATTTACCCTATACAAAGATATTTTTTTAATTTCTTTATTAAGCTTATTAGGTTTGTTTGTTATAGATTCCTTACCTGACCATTGGGCGACCTCAATTTGCAGCCAAAATAGATAAGCTCATCGGGGCTGTAGGACATCAACATATGTCGAAGGTTCTCCACTATAACAAAACTTCAACAAAATATGGATATCCTTTTATTGTGAAATTCATATTCCTTACTTGTCATCATTGGCATAGATGAACCAGTCGCCCTGATTGAAGTGATTCTTGTAGACGTACCCCAAATGGGCCCTCATCTGTTGCCATTTGTCGTGCAGATGCAAAAATACAGCGGGTTCCAAAAAGTAGTGAACATCGTCGCTGACGAAAAGATAGTGATCGCAGTGCTTGACCCAAGTTCGATGGAGGTGGATTGCCATGTGGTCATGGCGGTACGCAAAGGTGGCGATTATGCAGAAAATCCGAGGGGATGGAGGAGCATGAACCCCCAACTCTTGGGGTTCCGAGTTCCTGTGGAGTTGCATCACCACCACAGTTGATATAAAGCCCAGGAGAAGCACATAAATTCCGCTGCAAAGGGTGAACCTATTCTTTCCGCAAAGGAAGAGGCGCCGTGTATTGAACAGTCGTGGCATTTTGAAACTATTACTCGAATTGGCGGTTCAGGTGGCGGCATTATTGCCGCTGGGTGGTCCGTCGACAATTTAATTATATTGAGTGCTTTTGTCTGTCTGCGTTGCCTTTGGTTTCCCACTGCTCGCCGCATACAAATTGCCTTTTTCAATTAGAATTATTAACCCACCTGACGACGACTCGGGTGGACGCATCGAAGACGTTTCGCCATCGTCTTCCATTGATGATAATGGCTTTCAAGTTGATGCAAAACTTTGCAGTTGCCAGTGGAGTGGCACAGAGAGAGCAGTTTGGAAGTCCGGAAAGGGTTTGGTCAGTTCATAAAATGTTGGGTAAACTACACAAATTTAAAGTGGAGTATCGATTACGGAGATGGCGCATCTGGCACTCTTGTTTCCCCATGTTTTGACACTTTTCATGGAATCCCAGCCCACAGCATTGGATTCGATTGAAACACGTTTGCCCGGATTTGCATAGATACTCGTATCTATTTTCGGCCTGCTCAACAAAACAAATAGCTGTCACATACATATAAACAAAAAATATTATTCAATCGCTGTTGCAAAAAACAAAAGAGCCGAAAATGTTTGTATAGATTTCAATAATCACATGTGAGCAGCTCTATGTTTGGGTTTTCATGTGAAACTGTCAAACAAAAAACAAGGAACCTGCGAAAGGTAAGCGATATTCTGCTTATGTGGGATATTAATGTCTCAGTTTACGTGATCAAGTTACCAGATGAGTTGTGTGGCATCTAACAGGTAAACAAGGGCCCACACATGATTAAGGTTACAGGAAGCAGGGAAAAGTGCAATGTTGCATTCATACGGGGATTTCCTTTCACCGCAGACATGATGCAACAATGACACTTTGCAGTTGGGCGAAAAACGAAGACCGAAAATCGAAGAAAAACGGAAGTAATTTCGCACAGACAAAAGGGCAATGGGAAAATGAGACTCCAGGCCAGACGACAGATTCATTGATGAACACGTCTGTCCTCCCCCTTTTTTCCGTATGTGAAATGAATTATGTGATGGAGTACATGATATGTGGGTTATTGTGGGTTACTTTGGCCTACTAGGAAGTAACTTAGGCCCTCTTCCTTATGTAATTGAAACGTCAGGCACAAATTCAATGACAGCTGCCAGAGGTTAGTCCTTTATTAGGGCCGAAAATCTATTGAGTTTTGCAAGAGAGACCCAAAGATTTTCACTCGATAAACAAAATAATAATAGTCGTACATTTCAAGCGGATATTCCACATGAAAGCAAATGGCTCGGCTGGATATGGGCACAGTATCCTGTCGGAGAAGTAAAAAAATCAATTAAATTTAATTTAATTTAGGTGATTAATATTACCATTGGAACCTTATGATAGGTTAAGTTTCGAAGCCAAGGAATATGATCGTAGCCATCCAAGAATTGGTAATCCATTGTTATGGGCAAGAAAGTCTCGTTCCCCAATTCATCTCGACTTTCGACTATGGTAACATTAACATGGTTCAGACATCCATAAAGGTCCAGTCCTTCATTAGAAGACTTCCGATGATGGCATTCCTTATTATCTATATCCTTCGAGGCCATTGTATATCTTCTCAACGCCTCATGACTCATGACATAACCACTTTTGTGGTGGATAAATGGCTAGAAAGAGTGAAGAAAATATGTAAGTAAAATATTAAAAACTGACTTCTATTCAAACTCACCTTATGCGTTTCAATATTCTCCAGTTCATAGCCAAAATAAATCGCTTGACTGGGCAAATATTTTCTTCTATCAATCATGTACCGGAGATTCTCTACGACGACAAAACTGCAAGTAAGAAAATACTTAAAAATTATACGAAATTTTCCTTTGTGCCAACTAATAATTCTCATTCTTCATTCACGTCGCAGAATCGTGCATATCAATAAAACCCATCTCTGATCGGCTGTGCATACAAAAAACCCAGTGCAAATATGTACGAATGTTGTATGGCCAAATTGGTCGGTGTGGGTATATGGATATTCGAACAAAAAATTTGAATAAGCGTAAAACGAAAGGCAAACAATTGCCATTTAGAAAAACCGTGTCAACAACATGGCAAGATCCGTTTTTGAATGAATCGTGGACACGCAAAGCAAACAAAGTCCAAGTTCAAGCCGCAAATGTGAGATGCAAACAGCGCTGGCTAAAATCGAAAAAAACAAAATGTGGAAGAACATAAACACTTTGATGATTATTTGCCAAACAACCGAACCAAGAAACAAGTAATTGTAGATAATGTCGATGAGCTTAGGTGCTATATACTAAGACGTAGATGTCAAAATCCTGGCTTTGAACTTCATATTGTTCTCGCATCACTTGAAGGTTTGTAATTAAGTGAGTTGATAAATTCAAGTTGAGCTGTCTGCGAGACATATTCTGTCGCCAAGTGGAAGCCGGCCAATAAAACTACCAACTTTAATGACTCTCACTATAGTCATAAACTTTTAATTGCCAGTCAACGACCACACGGACCATCCGCCAAGTCAAGTTATCAAGTCATTTTAGAGGCGATTAAGCAGAGAATAAATATTCCGAACCTAATTCAATTGATTTTGTAATATTTAACGGCTGGTGTTGACAACATACCCAATAAATTCTCAATTATGTATGAAGGCATAAATTAGGAAAACACTATTTCCATTGACACCACTCCGGCACACTTAATTGACCCCTTGCCACGAACTTTTACTCAATACTAAAAAGCCTTGATAATACGATTTAATCAATAACGTTCTCGACTGGAAGCATATAGAAAATTCAGACATTTATATAGCCATTAGCTTGGCGTTCGAGTGGAAACAGAAGTGCATGTTTAATTGAATTGGATTCGCGAAGTGCGCAAAAAATCAAAACAAATTGATAGCGCGATTGGCAAATATATTTAAACTAATGAATGTCAGCGATGTGGAGTGACTGATTGATACGTGTCTATAAATGTCTAATTTGCAGTTCGCATTTCATAAATTGTATTATAAATAAATGACGAATGCATTGGGATAGGGTTGCGATCGAGCATTCTGAATAGAAATTCATTTGTCAAACCATCAACATAATATGAGGCAAACTATGCTAATGGCATTCCGCACCGTGAATGGAAATCCATGGGAAAATTTCCCGCTTTCAACTTCCAACTGAAAATTTGTACCAATTATGAAGGCAAGCCTCCCTGGAGAGCAATCAAGCGACATATACACAGAGGGAACATGGGGAAAACTAAGGGTGGGGGGAAAAACTGCATTGTGTTCCCCTACAAAAGACAGATAAACTGCCGCCCAAAGATACTCGCACTTCCTTGGCACATTTTCCCCCGGCTCCTCGATAAAGGAAACTCTCTGTGGGCCAAAACCACAAAAGGAAGCCGAAGAAAAATCGATCTACAATGGACTGAATAGAACGGAACCGACTGGGAACGGGATGTAGACCTTAACGTAAACGGGAACATCCAAAGAACAACAACGCGAACCCAAACTCAAACTCAAACAAACAGTGCCGCAGGCTGACTGATAACTTTATCAATGAAAGAAGTCAAAATATGTTGAGTGAGGCGGCCACCGAACTCAGAGCTCATAAAAATAAACAACAAGAACGAATGAGAAGGCACCGAAAAAAAAATAACGATGTAGGATTGGCAATCTACAAATTCTAAAATAATCCTGCTATCTGAAAGCACAATAGTTAAAATGTGATATATAATAAGTTAAAGTCAATCATACTCTATCAAATGTATAATTGAAATAAATATTTTTCTGCAAAGGTATTTTATCAATTTATTGCCTTTAGTTTTCAGTGTAGAAAAGAGTGGCAGTTGAATGTTTAGAATATCATAACAATATTTAAGCGATAAAAGCAAATGACAAAGAGCGCTTCTGCAATTTATGGCTTTGTCGAGCAATTCAGAATTAAGTTATGATCTAGTAAATAAAACGGGGTCTTACCTAGATGGCTCTACCCTGAGAAACCAATCGGCTCTGTGGCCATAAAACTCATAGGCGTGTTTAAGCCCTTGTTGAACCAAGGTCCACACATCAGTGGAATTAATCACGGGCACAAAGGGTTCCAGTTCCCCATCGATGTCGCCACTCACGAAAAGCAAAACATTGCAGTGTTTTCCCCAAGTGCGTTTTACATATCTTGCAGTTTTTGGATATTGATAACTATAGGGAATCATGCAGAGTATCCTGATCTCGTCGTATAGGGGATCCGAAACATGTTTTGGGCTACCTTTACGGACAGGTGTTTTTTGAATCGCGGTTGAATTTAAATAGAGAGTGATTAATACAAATAAAATCAAAACCAAGAGCAGGCAATAAAAGACACGTCTAGGCGAGCTCATGACTTCAAACTGAGATATTTTTAATTTCACCGCAGTTCAATGAAAATTCCAAACTTTAGATAAGACATTTATCAGTTAACCCTCGTCATTTATTGGGGGTTCGATGTGCACCCATGCTTGGCAAAAAAGAAACACACGGAAACTATCGTTTTAACCGCCTTTTGTTTATGGTTAAGTGATTTTTTTTGTAGGAGTAGGAAGTTAAATTCTGTCTCAAAATAGTTCCTATAATTAAACATTGATTAGATTTTTTTGCAAAAAAAAAAACAATTATTTTGTGGTCGTTTTAATTTTGTTATAAAAAGTTAAACTGGTGAATGGTCTGTCAATTGAATGTGCACTTTAAATAGTTAATTAAAATATTTATTTAGCCAGGAAAGTGTTAACTCGATTCGATGGGCCAATTAAGTATAATTACACGATTGGTTGGGCGCTGGAAGCAAATTTTTGATAAGATTACCAAGCTTTGATTTCATTTTAGTAATCCAATCAGCGAAGGGGGGTTGTGCGGTTTCGATGGAGATAATGAAGTAACTATGATTACCAAAAATTTGTTTTACTATCAAATAATCAACCGATTTGGCAAGTAATTCGCTGACTGATAAATCAAGCTATTTAAATAGTACTAAGCACTACAAATGGGCGCAATTAAAGTGTAATCCGAAAAAGAGGTTATAAAATGTGAACGGCTGTCACCCGTCATCTCGAGTTTTAGTGGATTTCTGTTGAAGGCAGATGAGTACCAAAATAAAAGAAGAACCAACAACCTGCTGCTTCGGGTCTCCAACCATCCAAACAAACATTAAGTTACAAATAAAATCTTTGGCCCATAAAATTAAACCGCAGCCAAATACGCAGAACAGACAAAGACGGCAAAAGAAAAACAAATTGTTGGGGGATGGGGGGAAAACGGGCTAATCTCATGGCGCGAGCTTATCAGGAAAACAAACCTGCAGCAACCTACTTTATATGTATCTGTATCTTTGTCTGCATCTCCATCTCCATCTGCATCTGTAACTGCTCTGGCTGGCTGCTGCGAGCTCCCAATCCCCGAGTCCCAATTCCATTCTAACACTAAGAAAAATTTATTTTGGTAAAATAAACAAACATATATTAAGAATTTATAGTCCTTTTATTTCTGAAACATTAATTTTAAAGCTGTCTTTTAGAGATTTATTTAATGAAATAAATCTGATAAATTCCGAAAAGAATTTTTAATAGTCCAATAAATTTAAGAAAATGATTTTCATTTTACCCAAACTTTAATTCCATATCTCATTTTGCAAAAATTTTTTTAATCACATTTGAGAGGAATTAATAATGCATAATGAAATTTTTTTTAAATTATTTTTCCTTTGTTGTACAATTATTATTTCTTAGACTACTTTTGACAGGTGTTGTTGGCTAAATAAATGGAATATCTTTTTGCATTACAGTTTCTTGAAACCATGCAGAACCGTCTCCCCTAGGATTAACCAAGATTTTTTCTCCGTGTGTCCTCAATCCCATTCCGAATCCCAAATCCAATCCGATCCCCCACCGCTGCACTTTGATGTTCCTCTGATGGCAGCGCCCAAGATAGGAACAGTTAGTGCATCGCAGTTAACTCGTTCGGCCGGAGTTTTCCAGTTGGGTTTTTATGATTTGGGTTCACGTCTACAGTATCTTGCAGAGCCCATAACTTTGAATCGTACAACTTTTATTTGCATTTTTATTTGTTTTTCTTTTAGTCAGGCTTCCCGGAACGCACCAACTTTTTATATATTTTTATGTAGATAGAATTTAATTTTGCTTTTGTTTGGCAACGCAATCGAGGTAAATATTTTACTCGAATAAAGCACAAAAGTTGAACCAACTGCACTTTTGTGCAGGCACTATATGTACACTGGTGAATTTTTAGAGCGCAAAACGTTTGTCAGTTACTAATTCGAATTCCATGCTTGACCCAATCTAAAATTGCCTTTTCATGCAGTTCTCACAAGCCAAGCCCAAAATCAATTTATTGTTATTTTTATGGAATTTCAATCAGAAAATTCTTTAATTTTCTTGAATGGAAAATTGATTTTCGTAGGTAAATTGTATCGTTTGTTGTTGGTCGTAGGCACTTTAATACGACCTCCAATTTGATATCTTTTCGTGGTCGGCTGCAAATCAGGCTCCCAGAACTCTCAAGCAGAATATTTATCTAATAAAAAGCTTCAAATTGTTCATATCTAACCCCGTGGCAAAGCTTTTACTTCACCCCACCATATCTACATATATGGAAAACAGTTTTGAGCAAATATTTTCACAAGCGCCGCATTCTCGCTAGCCATTTACAAAGGCAAACACATCAAATTGCAAAATCTTTGCCTTGGCAGCGGCAAATGCCTCGTGTTTTTATTGCTTTTGTTTGCCTGCGATTTTGTTTTAAGTTTTGTTTTGCGCTCAAACCTTTCATTCACCTTTGGGTTCGGGTAAAATCCAAGTAAATAACGCAGCGTCAGTTGAAAAATGTTTGCTCAAAGTCTAAAGGAAATGATAAATACATCGCGGTCCGATTTAACGCATGCCTTATTAAAAAGCTCAAAAATCCGACAAGGTTAGTAAACAAATTTGAGTCAGTGTGTGGCTCTTAATAAGAATCTCGACAAAGCATAAATAAACAGTTAATGGAGATCCGAAAAAAACTGGACGGCTTTAATCTGCGGTTATCACCCTTGAAAAGTTAAATATTTTTAAATAAATTTAGGGTTTTAGGTCAGTCGGCTTAACTTAATATTTAAATATTGGCTCAATACTATTTACACAGCCATTGTGATTGTTTTTATTATTTATTCTTCTCGAGGTCGAAATCGATTTAAAGGCTTTGGCATGTTTGTGTAATATATATTTTTGTTTGGACAAGCAACGATGACCCCATAACAAATACTCGTATATATAAAAATGTGTACATGCACACATTTGGTGACTGTTTTCTAACCGTTTTCGATGGGAGAGTCGGGCTTGCCAATTTTTAATTTAACTTTGGGTTTTTGTTTTGGTTTCGGTTAAAGCCGCCTGCACAAAAAGTGGGTCAAATGTTGCGTATGACGTTGCCTTTCAGCCAGCGGCTGTTGGCCAACCGGTTTCGCTTTCAAACATCGGCGGCGATTCGTCTGAGTCTGGAGTTTAGCCGTTTGCGACTACACACGGCTATCTTCCAGCATTCAGCATCCAGCATCCAGCATCCAGCTAAAAACTCGGTTTTGGGCCACGATTTTGGCGCTTAATTGAAAATTCATTCGGCCGGGTCCGCGTGTTGTGAGAGGCCATAAACGTGGGCTAATGTGCATTTTATTAATAAATTGTCCGCTTCATTAGCTCAGGGGTTAGGGCCTCTGCCTCTGCAACCTGCAACGCTGGAACTCTGCAGCTCAGCAAACTTTCACCGATCGGAGATGCAGTCAGCCGATCGATGGGCTTTTAATAAATTGCCCTTTGGTTGCGCTTTCTCGCTGCCTCGGATTCCGCGATTTGCATTTCGAGCTAATTATGTTGTTTATGTTGTATAATATTTTGATGGGCCGTATGCGATCTACACATGTTTTCGTGGCAATGCAAATGCTAATCAAACTAATCCCGAGTATAAAAATGGAAATGCTGCGGGGCCAAGGTGAAAGCACAGACGAATCGCCACATTTGTAGGCCTGCAATTGGCCATTTGGGCTCATAACCGATTGGGGCCTTAACCCATTAGCCAGCCAGGCAATTAGCATGGCTAACATAAAAACCGATACTAAAACTCATTAGCAACAGTTTCAAGTATGCACTCGGACTATTTGTTCTATGCCCGTAATGGCAGTGATGAAATTATATGGCCAAACGATGTAACAAGTTGCCCGGTTGTATTGTATAATGCGGAATTGCTCTGCTAACCAACAGCGCCAATACTTTTTGGCCTTCTTTGTAGGAAGCTTTCGATTTGGTTGTTGGGACGTGAGGGGATTACCTGAACGTTTGACCACGCGCTAGCCGGAATTTTTTTGGCATTGTTTTTGCCGGCCAAACATGCCTAATGAAACAATTTGCACACATTGTGGCGAACTGACAAATTGGTGGGTGTGTTTTGGTCAAGCTCAGCTTATTTTTACAGACCGACCGAGAGTTCAGCTCAGGCAATAAAATCCATATATCACTCGGGGCTTTGTGAAAGCGAGCTGGGGCTAAATATTCATAGGTTCTAGACATGCGGCTAAGTTAGTGAGGCGTCTTATAGGGGAATATGTCATAAGCTGTCAAATAAACTAAGAGCGATCGTAAGTTGTAGCTGCAATTGCAATTAATAATTATTGCTTTGCATACACTTACTGTGGCTTACTGTCGAAGTCTTCCCACCGATATGCAAATGCCACCGCAAGAGCTGCAGTTCTTCCCCAGAACTTGGACCATTTCGTATTAGCCGATCGGCGATCGGCGGTCACTGATCAGAGATCTCTGATCACGGAGTACGAATCGTGAAATAAATAACTTTTATTGCGCTCGCATAAGTGGAAATTATTCGCACTCTCACATGTGGATTTCTAGTTAGTTGTCGGTGATTCGTTTACCCATTCAAATGGGCATAATAATAATGAAGCACGGAAACGCCAACTGCAACCGGCAAGCTATAAATACAACAAATGCAAAAACAAAGGCGATAATAATAATAATGATAAATAAAAGTCGCAGACCAAACCATTGCACTGTGAGATAAATTTCCATAGAATTCATTCAATTTGTGTGTGTCGATTATGGGTTGCTCAACTTGCAGATAGAGCAATGATAGTAATTCACTAGCAGCCATTTGTTCACTTTAATCAGAAACTATCTCCTCAGCTGCTGGAATGTGGGAACAGGGAAGGAATAAAACACCTCCCCTAGAAGACAGATCAGCTCGCAAGACCTACCACAATCCGTATTGCCTTCGGACCCGGCCACGTTTTCCAGCACGAGGTTAACTGGGAGTCACGTCCAGAGTCGAAGCATCGGCGATGCTTGGAAAACACCCTGTTCGAGATCATTTATTATATCTATTGTCTCTGGCAGCGATTTGCATACCTATACATGGACTTGCTTGCTTATCAATGCGAAATTACAATTGCACAAATGCATTGTGCACAGCGGCGGTGGCAGTCGAATAAGCTATCACGTCCTTAGCTCAATGTCAAATCGAACTGTCTCTATCTGTCTATCTATCTATCTATCTATCTACGGCAACTATCTCAATCCGGCGGGTTGTTGTGCTCTGGCATTTGCTTTCGACCGAAGACGGGAGCTATTTATAAAGCTCTGCGGAGCGGGGAGTCCTCCTGGCAAAGGATTTGTATGCCATCTGTTCTTGGCGTCAATCAAATCAGTTGCTGCAGCTTCGATGAATCAATTTGAATGTCAACTGATTGATGGCAAAATAATAATCAAAGCAGCTGACAGATGAAGAGATAGAGTGCTCTTTGACTCAAAAGCCATTTTATAAAGAAAAGTAACAGTGGAACATTTGATTTGTTAAGTATTTCTCACGAATAATTTATTAATAATTAGTTTGTGGCCTACTTAAGTCTAATAACATATACTTGTTCTCCCTTTCAAGTAGCGATAAGTACTGCATACAAATTGCTTAAGTACAATCTGGTGGAACTAACTAGCTAACACATTTAGTAGCGAGTAGTGTGTTTAGTAACGTCTTTTTGATAATCACAGCGCTTAGTTTAATTACATGAAGTATGTGTTTCCAGCATGAATGAAAATATCACAGAGCTCAGTCGTGCGGTTCGGCATTCGCATCCGTGAGATTGGAATTACCGCTTGACATCGTCTTTCACCTGGCTGTCTTTCGATGCCTTCGATTTCTTTTTCTCGTCGACGGTTTTGTACGAGCTGCCGAATACCTCCGCATAACTGGGCACAATTGGCATCATCACAAAGTTCGGCTTAATCGCCTCGCACGTGGGCGATGTTGCTGTTGTTGCTGATGTTGCTGTTATTGCTGTTGCTGTTGCTGGAGTTGCAGTTGCTGGTGTTGCTGTTGTGGGTGTTGGTGTTGCTGGGAGCAGCGGCATTGTGGCCTCACAGTACGAAGGTGCTTGCGGTGTTACCAAATTCTCGGCAACTGCGGCCGGAGCTGCTGATGTTGCAGTTAGCAGGTTCTGGCTGCTCCTATCCTGCTTATTGAACACATTAAACACACTCGGGTAGACAATCAGGCAGGATGACTGAGGGGATTTCTGCAGCAGCTCCAGAGCCGCCTCGTAGCTGGGCAATCCGGATACTAGGGTGTACTCCGGCACCGGATCCTCCGCTTCCGGATGCAGTTTCAACGCCTCGATATCCACAACGGTGCACTGCGTGGAGCCATTTGCATTGTTGCGATCTGCAAAACAAAGAGCAATAATTGTTTATTAGTATTTGCCTTCGCTGGAGTGGAATCGCCTGCTCTGAGATTAAAAGAGACCTCGACCTAGTTGCAAATTCGCTTTCAACTCGCGTTTGTTTTCCCCTACTCACTTACTTTCATTGTCATTAATTTTGCCTGGTTTTTTTAAACAAATTTCTTTGCGCTGCATTCTTTACCTTTATAATTGGCCCCGCTTTCGAATTAAAATTGAGGTAGCCGAATAAGCGTGGAATTTTCGCAGCACTTTCTGATTTGTTTACGTCGGCATTGTGCTAATTTTTTATTAGTTTTCGTGACGTTGTAAGCGGCAAATCACGTCTTATAAACAGATAGAGTTGGTTCTTGACCTGTGAGCCGGTTGACGAAACACTTTTAGGTTTACGACGCGAAACTGCCCAGACATAATAATGTGAATCATTAGATAATGACGGAGATGTGGAAGCACTTAAGACGGAATAAAACCCGAATATTTCCATTCCCAATGGAGTATTTTTATTTTGCCAAAGTCAAGTTTCCCTTTAGCAGGTCACCCAAGTTCGTCCATAAAAATATTTATAACGGCCTGGAATTTTTGCTTGTTTTTGTTTGGTATTTTGTTTGGGTTTTTTTTTTTCGGCAATGCCGGCTAATCAAAACAAGCGCTCGATAAGATTTAAATCTCCAATAGCACCTTTATGGGGGTAAATATTTTCCATTTCTAATGCGGAGTATGGTACTTACAATTGCGTTTCCAGGTTCGAAATTGGTGGTACAGGAAGCAGGAGCAGATGCAGAAGACCATCGAGATGAGGATCAGGGTGAAGACGATGCCGATCCACACCTCGTTCATGAATTTGTCGTACTCCAGCTGCTGCTGCAGTTGGTCCACACTGCTGCTGTCCAGCACTACGCGATTGGCCAGATCGAAGTCCATTATCTCTTCGCTGGTGGAGTTTTGCTGGTGGTTAACTGCTCCGAGTTGCTGCTGATGCTTCAGTTGGATGGAACTGAGGATCTGGGCTCCGATTTGCTTGAGGAAGTCACTGCCGGCAAAGGAGTCCAAAGTGGTGATTGTTGGCGTTGAGGCTTCGGGAGTATTTCTACCGCTATTCAGAATCTTCTGGGCGGCTGGACCGGCGTAATGGTCGAAATGCAAATCGTGCGACAGTTCGTAGTTTAATGCGCGCGGCAGGCCCTCCATGGTTTTATATATCGCTCGGGCTAATCTCGATCTCTATCTGTGTTTTATTTGTTTTTTGTTTTGTATCTGTGTCTCTGGTGCGGCACACTTTCACTGCTTCGATATCGGAGTATCTGTATCTCGTGGATCGTTCTTGTTGCTCGGTTTCTTTTGGCGAACGCACACGTCCGTCGACGGCTGAGTTCACAAACAAACTGATCGCAGCGGTCAAAACGAGCGGCTCTGCTGGCTCAACTGCGATCCACGATCCCACTCAAGAGAGGGCCGTATCTGTATCTCTACCTGACCAAAATCCGAGATCACTCCGCTCTCCACACACTCACTCACATTTGCCGCCACTCGGTTACGCATCGCTGAGAAGGTTCTCTCGCCGTGAAATGATCTTGGGTCGTTCTGTAATTTCGAGTTCCCGTTCCCGGAGCGCGTCTTTTGTGCTCCCACAGAATCAGACAATGCCCTGGAATTATGGGACCATAATTGGCGTTACAAAGCGGCGCACATGTTGCTCAGCCAGGGAGAAAAGAGAGCGGGAACAGAAGGGAGGAAGAATCGGTTTAGGGATTGCAATAGGGATCCGAATAGGGATCGGGATCGGAGAGCGGGAAGAGAGTGCGCCACGGAGCGTGAGCATCGATCTTCATTTCTCCGCCGGCTTCTTCGATTTCAGTTCGGTTTGCAGCCGGGCAAATGACATATCTCCAGTTCCTTGCACTCGGAGAAAAATTTGCATATACAAAATTATAAATGCAGAAATACATCACCAAATGATTATTTTTAAAACGTGCGGTATATTTATAACAGGGCTTTATTTACATGTGCAAAACATACTACTTTTAAAATGCAAATACAGTTTAATATTTGTATATATTAACTTTGTTGCTCCCAAGGGAATGTGCAAATGAAAATCAATTAGGCCTGGCATGTTAACTGAATTTGCAAAGGCAGCTCAACTTAAAAGTGATAGCGAAAATTAAATTGAGTTTAAAGTTCTTGGAAATATTTTTTTTGTAATTAGTTTTGATTAGAAATGTACATACTAAGTATTTATTGTCATTACTTTTCCTACTGTAAAAGAAAATTGTATACTAATTAGATAGGAAACTAATCATGGATTTACTATATAAGCAACACACCGCTTTCTATTTAAAATTAATAAATATTGGTTCCAGTCCGATATTTATCATTTCATCTTATAAAGAAAACCATCTTATTCTAGAAAAGTTGTTCCCTTAATTTCACGGCACATTTTTCCTCTGGGTGTACAGTTCAGTTCTTTTTCCACCGCATTGTTCGGACGGGGAAAGAGAAATTATTGCTGTAGGATAATGTGTTTGTGGGACTGTTGTTGTTGCCATGTTGTTGTTTTTGTGCCCAAAGGGGCCCGAGACTTCTCTTGTTCTTCTTCAATTTTTTTTTCAATTTTTTTCTTTTGGTTTGGTGGAGTTTTAAATTACAGCTACGTGCAGATATCTTATTTCGGGCAGCAATTTTGTGGGCGACGCGATGATCACCTGGCTTTGGGTTGATCACTTTTTGGCGATAGTGCAGGTAGGGTTAGGTCTTGTGTCTTTGGGTCTTGGGAATGGAACCGGGAATGGGAATAGGAATGGGGATTGGCACCGAGGATCGGATAGATACAACAGTTGTCCATTTATGGGATTGATGTGTGTGTAATTGGAGGATTCGAGGATGTGAAGGGAGGCAGGGGATTATCCTTGGAATCAAAGAGACGCGGAGCAGGGTATGACATAATCTTGCGTAAGAATGGATAAGGGAAGGGGATTTATTCCTACAGGTTGTCAATGGAAAACTTAAATATTTGTAAAGAATTTCCCAGTGCTTCTAGATTAAGAAACAAATTATACATAGTTTTCCTTGTTATTCTTTTTTATATATTTTTGGAGAACCTAACGAAACCAATTTCCCACCACTTCTTTGTTTTGGCTCAACTTATTGATAGAACCCCTTGATAGGAAACAAATGTTGTAAGCATTTTCTTTGTCGCACAACAGCCCAATAAATCAACTAAAAATTCTACAGCTATCCCCTAATAATTAACTATAAAAGAGCCCCCTTCAGAGTGAGTTGCCATTTCCCATTTCCCATTACGATGGCCCCGTCGATAAAATCACATAAGTACAAGCACTCAAAACAAGCCGGATAAGATCGGCACCCGCTGCAAGGAGAAGATGAAGGAGAAATTGCTTTTCAACAAGACGGCTCCTAAGATAAATCTCGTTGCGATTCACAAAGGGTTGTCTATGCGGTCGTCTTGGATTCTTTGCTCCTCGTGAGCTCATCGAAGAGCGGCCAGAAATGAGCAATCCTTATCACGATCGGCTAATCTGGTTGAGGAAATGAATCAGCAGCGGAGGCTGGAGGAGATTAGCAAAATGCCGGAGCTTGTCATTATGATGACGTCTTTTCAGTCCACTCAAATCCAAGGGGGAAGGGAATTAGGCGGGCACTCTTCTTCTGGTTAGTGCGGCTAACCCACATGGGCGACGGAATCCCATTCCCTAGCATTCCCAAATGAACGCCCATCTATGCCAGGTATGCGGTTCTTTTGCAATCAACTGTCACGGACCGTGAGAAGAGACAATGGCAATTTAATTAAGCAGGCCAAGACCCGCCTTTAGGTTTTCTTTGGTCTTAACCTATTCTCGGGGTAGTTCGGTAGCTTGGTAGCTTCTTGCTGTTCCTTCTTCTTTTAAAATGTTTCTTACCAGTATACCATACATATGTGGCTGTCTCATTGTGGTCTTGTCTTCGCGCCGCTTTCTTTTTCTTTCTTTGCACGTCGGCTTAGTTGACCGACTTGGGCCAAGTAGCTTTAATTTAAGACCCTAATGAGCCATTTAGGCATTCTGGGCTTTGTGTCTTCAATGCCGACTACTGTGTGTCTCCCTGTCCGCGAACAAAACTTAAATTAATGAGTCCACGGCCAGTTGGTGTCTTTAGTCTTTGGTCTTAGGTCTTTGGTTTTTCGTGGGCCTCCGTTTTTCGGATGCGGGTGATGCTCTGATGCTGATAAAGCTGCTTAATTTTTCACTGACTCCGAGATCGGGGTCTCTCAACTGCTTTGCATAATGCAGCTCCACCGCCATCGAGCCACAATTTTTACATAGTTTATTAATTTTTCGGATTCGGGCCTAGGTATTTTCTTACGCCTCACCCCCTTTTGTCGCCAGTCAACCGCTTCTGACACTAATAAATCGGCTTAAATTTGATCTTGAGCGGTGTATTTTGATTCCCGGCCTAGCTGAGGGCACTTTGTAACTCAGGGCTCCGTGTGTGCATTATTGATGATTGGGACTGGGGACTGGGGACTGACCTCCGCTAGAAGCTGAAATAGCCCCAAAGAATCCGCCGATCGAACCCCTGAGTTATGTTCAGCTGAATAAGCGGCTTGCTGGTAGTGATTTAAATGGTCTGGGTATAATTATAATTATATAGGAAACACTGTGACGAGGCCATTACTTTGGCTCTGTGACGTACATGCACAGATTTTAAATAGAATGTCCATGTATTTATGGGCACTTTGCAAAAGTACGCACGTCATGCTGTAGACCCATTAATTAATCTAATGATCACTCTCGTTTTAAGTGTCGCGAAATCCAGAGTCGCACTTATTATTGTTTAATATTACTGATAAGGAAATAATTACAAGCTGATTTAGGAATATAAATATATAATTGTTAAGTCACTCTTGAATATAAAAGACTTAATCGGCGACATATCATATTTAAAACTAATCTCTGAGACTGAAGCTGATAAGAAATTGAAACGTAAACAAACAAATAATTTAAATGTTATATAATGGATGCGAAAGTTCTAGAATAATGTGTTTGACATTGACATTGATTTTATAATGCTTAAATGACTTTGTTTGGGGTATTCATGAACGGTGCATGAGAAGTATAGACAGACTCCTAGTTCTTAATGAATTCAAATTAAAACCTTTTTCCGGAGGCAGTTAAAAATGCAATTATCATCTCCGCATGACTCTCTTGGCATTTGAGAGTATAACCCTTTGATATACGACACCCACTTCCTTTTTAGCTCTAATTGAGTTGTAAATTCAACCCTAGATTTTTGGCACACAGCTAAACTCGAAATGATTTCCATATAATTACAGGGCACAGATCCCTTCTCACATTTGCTCTAATTGAGCGGTCAGGCGAAGTATCATCGGGCGAATCAGTCTCGCAGTCGATTCCCTGAATCCCAGGATCCCGAGTCAGGATTTTCCGAGCAGAAAGCCACCAGCGGGCAGGGGCCATAAAGTCATGACATCCTGCCGGGCAACTAGAAGCACTTGTTCTGCCCTCCACTCCGACTTTTTCTCACCCTGCCCGGGGCGCATTTTCTGGATGCGTATCTTGTGTGTCTTTTCTCGTTTTTATTTCTTTTTTCGAAGCTCAGCAAGACGCATTGCAACCAACTGAGCTGTGACGGAGCGAAAGTCGTGGCAGGAGTGTATTTCTGAGTGGATATACATATCTGTATGTGAGTACGACTGGCTGGCCAGGTAATTGCCGCAGTTGTTTGGGGGGGGCAGTGATGTGAAACATTTGTCATATGGACCGAAACCGGGACGTGCCGCTGCCATGGGAAAGTCAGTTCGCAGTTCCCTAATCTGTGATATAGGTCATGCAACCCTCAAGGTTCCGAGTAGGTACCATCACCATCACCATATCCATCTCTAACTGCGAACTCCAAACTGTAGACTCTAGACTCTAGGCATTGTCTTTGGTCCCTTTGTGTATGTGTGTGTGTGTGTGTTATGGATTCGTAGAAATTACGCGTGAGCATGCCAGCTATCCTTTTCACATTCTTATGTCGAGGCAAGTAGCTCGGGCCTATTATGTTCTGAATCCGAAGACAACAAGTGCAACGCTGAGTGCGCCTTTTATTCCAGGCACAATTAAAAACGCAGTTGTGCATAGAGCATACAGCTAGAAGAACGGCCAGAAGTCTGGCTCAAGTTTAGCCAAGCCAAACCCACCGCCCTCAAACCATCTCTCCCTGGCACCCACCCGCCCATTCAATGTCAATGAACCGCCGTTGTAATGTTTATACGCCCATCACAGCTGAAGATACGGATACCGCAGTAGGTGCACTGAACAAAAATGTTTTTAAAACGAGCCTAACAGCACCTCAAAAAAAACCTACATTATTATTGCAAA